AGGTCTTGGGCAAGAAAGCAATGCTGAGTCTGCGCGTGGAGCTGGGAGCCAGGATTCTCGCCCGCTCCCATCCTCCGCGTGGCTGTGCGAGCTGCCGGGAGGCACTCGGGGGGCTGCTTGGTGCGGGCACCTCGCTTTTCGTTGCCCCAACGGCCCCCAAGCTGCTCTCGATGGTGGCAGCCAGCCGGCAAGAGGGAAAGGGGAAGGAGGAGGAGGTGAAGGTCTAGGATGTGGAGAAGGTACGGGAGAAAGCAAGCCCCAAAAAAAAGAAGGTGGATGAGGGCAGACAAGCCAGGCATTGGGAAAGGCCCCGCATGCAAACGACGCGCTCCAGCCTCCCGCTGAGTCACACGGGGTCTTTCTTAATCAAAAGCCTCCAAAAGCCGAGCTTGCAGTTTGCGCGCGGCCGTCAGCACGCTGCGTTGGGCGCCAGTGCCAGCGTTCAGCCCCCGGACAAGTGCACGCGAGGAGTGACCCGCTTTCACGTCCCACAGCCGCTCTCCCTCGCTCCCTCCAGCGAAGGCTTTGTCTGCTCTCAGGGAGATCACAGAGGGACACGACGGCTCAAACACGGAGTCTTTCTGCAAAGCACACACCGCAGCAGCTGCCTTGACCTTCCCACCAGAGGCTTTTTAGCCTCGGGCTTTGTGGCACTCTTGGTTTTATTTATTCAGGTTCAGCAAACTCACAAGATGAAAGCGAGACGAAGGTGTGTTTTATTAAGTAAGAGTCCATCATTACTTTAAAAAAAGAAAAACAACCATCTTTCTGTCTTCCTTGAGACAGATCAGAGCCTTCTCAGCCTGGATACTCCTCTGAGCACGAGGCCTTTGGACGCTCCTCTGCAATAAACCCAGAACTTTTGTCTCAAGTGTCACTGCAGAAGAGACAGCTCAAACCAATTTTTCTTCCTCTGGACCTGTCTTGGTCATGAAGGGGAGGAGGAAACTTGGCAAAGGTCTGTTTTCCTTCTCTTTTGCTAACAGTGCCTTCACCTGGGTAAAGCTCTCTTGATCCTAAGGGAAGACCCGGCTTGCCTCGTGCTCAGCCGTCGCCTTTCCACAAAAACGCTGCTCTGTGCAGCACCAGAGGTCAAACCCTGACAGAGGAGGTGTCCAGCTCTGCCTGGACAGGTTTTCACTTGGTCTGAGTCACAGGTGGCGGAGATCCCTTCAGCTCCTGGTAGGAAAAGGCCAGGTGTCAAAACAGAGAGCAGCTGTGGAAGAAGTGGGTGTGTTACAGATCCATCGCTTCTTCTTCCACGGCTTTGTCTTGAGATTGCACATACTTCTCCTGCACTGCAAGAGTGCTGATAACGCAGTAATTAAGGAAAACAAGGGGCTGGGCTCCAACACTCCCTTCTGCAAGGAGCTCTTAACGTTCTCAGCGAGGAACCAGCCCCACATTAGCCCGAAGGCTGGCAGGAAGACGGCAGCGCTGGCAGCAGCGCGCATCACCCGAGTTATTTCTGGCTCTGGCTGCTCCCAGACCCGACAAGTACAAGAGAATCAACTGTAAGGTTTGGACGAGGTGGAGCGAACCAGTCCAAGCAGGCGTGAGAGAGAGGAAAGTTGTCAAAAGATTCCTCCTACATTCCCAGTATCAATTAGCAACCACGTGGTGGCTTTGGTGCGGACAAGTGTCTGTTAAGGTCCGGGTCGGGCCCCACAGGCACGTCACCAAACAGCATCACACGATGTTTGTAACAACCCGGGCCTGCAAACCGCCAGCCCCACCCCCAGCCTCTCTTCCCCAAGGAAAGAGAAATGAAAATTCAGCACGAGAGGATCAGCGGAGAAGGATACGAAGTAAAGTGGAAATCAGCTCCCATCGCTGCCGACATCAAAGCTTCGAGGCTCCTGTGCTCCTCGTCTCCGAAGGAATAGCCGTTGGCTTTGTCCACCGCCCGCATCACCTGCTGCATGCTCTCCTTGTCCTGAAAGGGAGGGAGGTGACACACGGGGAATCTGGTCCTTCCCTGGAGGCACGAGCTCGGGCCGGGCTTTACCCGGGGATTTTCTTGGCGGCTCTGGGCTGCTCACACAGCGCCCAACGCCCCGAGGGGACACAGGTCAAACAGGGGCACGATGGGCTGACACCCTCCACCCTCTCGCTCCCTTTGATCACCTCTCAGCCCATTTGCCTTTGTTGACACTTCAGCAAACTACCAGATCAACATTTTCAGCCCTTCCTCCCGATCTTCTAATTATTTTGTGTTCCCTAACTTAACAACGTTTTAGGTAATACTTTGCCCAGATTTAAAATGCAGGCACAGAGGAGCTGAATCAAGGGGGAGTCTTGATGTCCCACCTCAAGACACAGGGCCCACATAGCCCCAAGCTCATCAGCCTTTTCTTTTCCTTTGGCTGCCACAGATCATTTACAAGTCTGGGTGTGTTTCACTGTCCTCCTCCATCCTGGAGTCTCTTCACAGCCAAGGTTTTCACCCCTCGTGGCTCTAAGCAGAAGCAACATAGCTGCTGCCAAATGTGCTGAAGGCATCTGTGACACTCCCTGTTCTCTCTGTCCCTCCTGCATCACCTGGACGTTGAGTGGAATGAAGGACACCAGGCTGTAGTCCTCGATCACCTCCACCAGCTTCTCATTGAGGCGGCGGTAATTTCTGAAGAAGGGGTCGGAAGCTAAATGGTCAACCAAGTAAGAAAGGTCCAGGACCTCTGTGTAATAATCCAGGTTGAAAGCTGCAGGGAGACACCAAGAAGCTCTGAAGGTGATGAGAAATTGAAGAACCCAGGCAGATTTACACCAGTCCCCCAAACACCTCCCACTCCTGTGCCCGAAGAGAGGATTTGTGCCCGACGCAGCCCGATTCCACACGTCCCTCTCGCAAAGACTCTCACCCAGCTTGCCGTACTGCTCGATCAGGTCCATCTTGGAGAGGACGTTGACGTGGGGCAGCTCCACGTGCAGCATGGTGGAGAGCGAGGTGCAGAGCACCGAGATGAACTTGCCGGGGTCCGTGCAGTAGTGAGAATCCACCAAGTGCACGGCAGCCAGCTGGAGAGCAAAGGCACAAAGGGACAGCGTGAGGTCAGACCTGGGACGAGTCCACCCGCTCGCTTTCGGGACAGTCTGAGAAGGGGCTACAAGGCAATCTGTAACCACGCGGGCTCCTTTGAGCTCCTGCAAACAAACCACCCTCACGCACGAGTGCACATGTTTCTATTTATTGCCCCAGTCACACCCATGGACCCCCCCGGGGGATTTCGGGCTGCAGGGAGGCACACAGCGGTGCTGAGCTCTCCCAGCAGGACTGAAAGACGCTTAAACCTGCAACTGCTCTCCCTTTGCTCAGGGTGTCTTTCCTCGCAGGTGAAGCTTCCACGCTCATCTGAACTCTGCAGGGTTTTGGGGATGGGAGTTGGGGTTAACCCTCCTGAACGACGTGGCTGCCTCCAGATTTCCCCCTCAGCACGCTCAGGAGCGGTACCTGTAGCACGCCGCGCTCTGCCGGGACAGCCAGCTGCCGTGCGGTTTGAAATAGTAATTAATACCTAAATTAACGAGCAGTTTGATTCCCTGTGTTTTGTGCAGCTGTAACAATGTGGTCCGAGGTCTCTGTTAAGTTACTGCCTGCTGCAAGATGTTACTCAAAAATCTGTAGTCAGTGAGGCTGAGTCACAGCTACGCTTCTGCAGCAAAAAAAAAAGCCAATTTAAAGCTCACAGGCAGGCACCAAAACAGCAGCGTAACTACCTTTTTTTAGTAACTACAATTTCATGTACATTTATTTGAATAAAAATAATCTCTGCTGTGCAGATTCCCAGTGACATTCTCAAGCAAATGAACTTGCCCTTCTTGCTCACGCCACACACGGTTTGCACATTCATGGTTTGGCCCAAATGCAAACCAAACGCACCGTAAGCAAGTTAGCTCGGTGACGGGCCTCTTCTCACCTGCGCTGCCTCATTTGCATCTTCCATTGCGCAAGAAAGCGCTGAGCACGTAGGACAGAGCCGGGCAGGGCCTGAGAGGATGCCTGAATTTCTGACAGTGCAGCACAGAGGGTCCCTGCTCGCTCAGCGCCCGCTCGGATAAAACACACAAAGACTGCAGAGAGGACTCTGTGTGGGGAAGGAATCTATGATGAGCCCGCTGCATTAAACACCTTGAACAAGCCAATCCCTCTGAGCACAAAATGGGGCAAAATTCCCTGATAAAGCCCTTTCACATGTAAGACCAGTAAAGAAAACAGTCAATACCACCCACAATCAAAAGCTCCGACCGCGCGGCGTACAGCTTCCGAGCCCCTTGCACACGGGGTGCCAGGCACCGATCCCTGGCCTCCAACCTACCCTGAAATTCCACTTGGCCAACTGCGCAAAGACGTTCTTCAGGGAGTCGTGGTGGGTGTAGAGCTCCACCTGCCCCGGGCAGTCGAACAAGTAGTAGTGACCCCTGAACGCAGCCAGCTTCTCCTGCAGCCAGTCGAAGTTGGCCTCCAGGTATTCCATGCAGTAGATCAACCCCCCGTTGGGCCCCAGCTTCAAGTTCTCCATCACGTCGGGCAGGGTGATGAGCTCGGCGATGTCCACAGCACACTGGTAGGGCATCGCCTCGTTGGCGGGGTCCAGGTTCACCACCGTCACCTTGCGCCCGATCCTGCCCAGGAACTCCTGCATGCCGTGGCAGTAGGTCGTCTTCCCGGAGCCCGGAGGCCCGATTACCACCTGGCCGAAGGCCAGCGAGCTCCCCTTGCTGCCCTCAGACATGTCGGCTCATTTCCTTCTTCCTTCTCTTGAGTGAGAAAGGAAAAGCTCCCGTTTACCATTTTATTTGCATTTATAAGAACGCGATCTGCCGGAATTCACAGGCAGGGAGCGGGTGGGAGAGGAAGGGAAGGTGTCAGTGTGTAACCCTGTCACTCCTCGCACAGCTCAGCCCCGCGCCGGGGCAGGCGTCACCCTGTCACCCCCCTGCAGTGGCGGAGAACAGGCACAACCCCCCTCAACCAGACCCACAGGGCCGTGCCGGTGGGACGCAGCTCCCTCCTCCTGCCCGCGTGTGGGGTGAGTTTTACCCTTGCTGGGGTCTTCCTGATGTGGCAGCACCCCGGCTTGCCCTCCCCTCCGTTTCCTCACATCCTCAGGTCCCTTTTCTCCGTCATGTCCCTTCTCCTCCCCCTGCAAACCCCTCGCTTCTCCCTCCGGTCCC